TGTTCCGGACGATGGACCGAAGAAGAACCATCCTCTGCCATGCGAGTCAAAGGGTTGAAAGGTTAATAGGCGCCTTACCTTCATCTTGGTCCAAACCCTTAGACTCAGTAGGAGCAGATGATACTCCTACTGGCGACTCGCTTTTGGGTTACGGATAAGTGGGCACCATGCAATTACATGCCCTGCGGTCCCACACTTCAAACATTGTGCGTTATCCATTCTTTCCTGCGACATGTCCTGTGACAGACCCATCTTTTCCCAAGGCTTCCCGGCCGCAATCCCGGGGTGCTCTGGGAACGAGCGTGGCTTCTTCTTCTTAACTGGCGGTCGTGGTACTCCCCTGTTGACCACGACAACAGTGACTTCCCCCTTCCCGGAATCACTGCTGCTCGCCACACCCTCGGCCTCCAATGGCCACTTCTCCACGATATCATCATTAAAGACGACAAGGGTGTGGCCCTGGCGCTTTTGGCGCCAAAGTATCCGCTTACCTGTACCTGCACCACCGTCATATTTCACAACAGACGCATAAGAATTTTTAACCTGAGAAGTCATTTGCTCTCGTTGGAGAGCTAGATCCCGAAACTGCCTATAATTATACTTACCTGACTTGGACTCTGCCACGAGTTGTCCACGGATGGACTTGGGCAAAGCACGGGAATAGATGTACAATACTTGGTTGTCTTGCAGGTTCAATCTCGGAACCTGCAGCAAGCGATCAACTTCCCGAGACAGCGATTCCACAGAGGTCCAATGTTTCTGACCAATTGTGGTGAGCTGGTCAAAGGCCTTGTCGACCGTCGTTTTGTCCAAAAACCGTTCCTTGACCTTACCAAGGAACTGCTTGAGGTTCAAGGTTCCATCCCACTCCCCAATGTCATCGAACCCTGCCGCATTAGCTTCGGCCAACACCCATTCCTTAGCTTCCCCCGGAGACAAGAAGTAGAGAAAGCAACCTGGGAATGGGGTTCAACAGGGGCCGTACTACAATATGTCTGAATCTCGGCAATCCACAAGAACAAGTTTTCATCTTTCTTGTTGCAGAATGTGAAAGGCAATTTCATTTTCACCTTCTCCTTTCTCTTGGGTTTCTCCGGTTGTGTGGTGTGGTCCTTTGTTCCGTTTGGAGACTTCGGCGGACTTGAAGGTTCTACTTTCTTCTCTACCGGTTTCTTCTCTTCCGGTTTCTGAGTCTCTATAGTAAGAGACTTCCTGGCATCTCCGATTAGTTTCTCTGGCTTTTCGGTCTTTTCTTCCTTGACCTTTTGCTTTCCCTTGACCAGATTCGTGATTATCCGGAGTCCTGCAGCCACATCATCGATTTGTGACTGCATCCGTTCACCATACTGATCGATTTTCATTTCCAGGTGGGCAAGGTAAGTCACAAGCTGATCCAAAGAAATCTCCTGTTCTTCCCCTTCGGTCTTGACAACAGTTTGTCTAATTTCTTGAATTTTCTGTTCTTGCTGTTCACTCTTTTTCTTTCTCAATTCATCTTTCCTCTTCTTCTCTCTCTCTAGTGCTTCTTCAAGTTGTCTGATATTTTCATCCACGGTTTCTTCAGACACAACCATTTCTCCTTCTTCTTTCTGTTCAGCAATCTTGGAGAGCTGATCCATGATATACTTATCAAGTGCCTGACGACACTTGATTAGTATATCCTGAACCTGCATGACGTCAGTGCCTGTCACAGCCGATTCAATAGCATCATGTAATGCTCTTAAATCGAACAGGCTCCGGACGTGAGCCTCAGCATCTTCACCGGCATCATGAAGTTCAGAAATCAGTTTGTCCAAACGGGCAATCAAGACTTTTTTCCGCTCTTTCACTTGCTGCTTAGTTTGGGGGTCAGGAGTCTCCTTATCAACAGCAAACATGAGTGAGACTGGGTAGAAGAGAAGTGGAATAAAACGTCTGAGCACCGACAAATTCAGGGAATTCCAAAGAAAAGACATCGTGACGTGCGTTTGCCGCTCAATAAATACTTAATTAACGATAATAAATTCCACGGCTGCACTGATCTACCACAACAAGATTTCAAAGAACCGAAGAAAAAGAATCAGATACAATTATTTCTATTTCTAACTATTGCTGTTCTTTGTCTGTTCGTGTGATGACGTCCTAAGCAAGAGTGTACAGGTACCATGTCAGGCCCGTGTGATCAGACACAACACACAAGTAAGTACGCAAACACCACACACAGCAACAACAAGCAAGAGTGTACAGGTACCATGTCAGGCCCGTGTGATCAGACACAACACACAAGTAAGTACGCAAACAACACACACAGCAACAACAGGTAAGTATGCCGACAACAATCACAAAACAGTTTGTCAGCAATCTTCGTCAGTTTGCTGTGTCTTCTCGATGTCAGTGCGATCACACACTCCCCCTGACAGCTGGCACTACAGCTGTGTAATCTGTCCAGTCAGCTGTACCGCCGTCGTCTTTAGAGTGCACCTCTTACTTGGCAGTATCCTGCCTGCCACGTGTCATCCCTGGAGTGCCAACATAGCAAATGTTGCCACGTCAGCACTCTGTCCAGTCTGTCAATAATGGGATGCCACGTCAGCAAATGTGTAGTCTGATCCTTGCCACGTGCCTCTTCCAAGTTCACGTGAGATACCGTCGCCGTTCCAGCCAGTCAGATCATGCCACGTTAGCCAAGGAGTTCAATGCCACGTCAGCGATCAATCTTCTTTCCTCCAGGCCACGTCAGCATCTGCAGTAGACCCTGTTGCGTGTGAGCAGCACAAGGAGTGCCACATCAGCAATCAACAGGGTCTTCAGACGCAGCACGATATGTGCCACGTCAGCAAGGGATCACGATTCCACGTTACTGTCGCGATCCTGGCTGGTGTGCGGTATCCTTTGTCGCGATCCCGACTGCCACGTCAGCAGCCTGGGATGTCTCCTCGCCGGCAGAGTCTGTACCTCGTCAGCTTCCCCGGTCAAGTCTTCCCGCCAGTGAATCTGCACTTCGTCAACAGCCCCCGGCAGTGTATCCTCGCCAGAGAGGTATGTGCCACGTCAACACCCCCAGTGTATCCCTTGCCACGTCATCACCTACTCAACCTTACTTACCTGCGCACCACCTGGCGCGTACTCAATATACAAATGTCGTCGTCAGGAGAACTGCTCCGATACCAAATTGCAATGAACCCAGATCGTGAAGACAGTTGTCAACAATGCAAGCCCAGATAAATGTCCATCGGCTGATGATTACTAATAGTCAAAATCGTAACCAGACAG